TAGCATTTTGACGTTGCCTTAGCTAGCAACAAACATTTGATGATTCAATCAGTTCTATCAACTGTTTAAAAGGAGCAACGTCGTCCTTATATCAATTCAAGCAAAGGGCCATGAAGCATATACTATAAACTCAACAAGGGCACAAATGAAAGAGAACTGTCATACTCAAACAACTAAAAACCTCAATTTCCCAGGAAAATCCAAGCTCGCATCCAAAAGCAAAACCCAAGCATCCTCCATTGTATGCCTGGACCCTTTATCTTCTGCTGCATCCGCTTCAATCTCAAACTTGACTCCCATCCTGATGACCTTATTTTCTTCATCACCATTAACAGCTTCCAACTTCCTGCCGGTACAGTCTCCAGTTTTGTCGGCTACACCGGCAGTAGCTTCCGTTTTAAACTTCTTCACAGTGACATCAGCATCCTCGACATCTACGCCGCGCTTGGATTTGGTTTCAAGCTTCGAAGTTTCCTCTTCGAGAACTGATTTAGCGCTATCGGCCATTGTAGTTTACTCCAAAGAAATTTCAGAAGACGAAAGCAGCTACTCTACTGAAAAAAAAAAAAAAAAAATGCCCTAACAAAACAGTCTCAGGGGATCGCCACCGGAAGAAACACCATTGAGATAGCCATTGTTACCGCGAAATTGACTTCCCGAGAAGAAGAGGGCCAGGATTTCCTTTCCAGAGTCCAACAAAAAACACAGATTTATTTTCCCTCCTCTTCCTTTTTTTCCATTTAGATTTTCCAATAAATGTGTTTTGATGAATGGTATATAAAATTTCGTTTCGACATGTCGGTAGGGATAGGGGAATTTCGCTTTTCCTCCGACGACAAAATGTCGTCGCAGCTCGAAATTTCGAGATATCGACAACTTATCCATCAGAATATCGGGGCGGAAATACCGAACGAGAAAAGCCCATAAACGCAGACTCATTTCTAGTTTAAGGCCCATATTGTTGAAAGACTAATCTAAGGCCCATTAACCAGGGATGTCCAAAGACTAATCACGTCATTTATATATATAAATAAATATAAATATTTCTATATATCAAAATTGAATATAAAGTGTAATATTTTACATTTTTTAATAAAAATTAACTATAAAAAATGAATGAAGAATTTCATAAGATTGAAATTGAAATAGGAGTCTGGGATGAACTATAAAAATATATAAATTTCATATTTGGTGATTATTGGAGGCTGATAAAGTTTAAATTTTAATCAAGCAGTTGAAAATATCTCCACGAATTGTGGAGCTGTCGAAGAGGATATCTTTAATCCTTTCATTACGAGATGAGTGGATGAGTGGAATGAGTTATGAGGGTGAATTTCATCGTGATTAGTTGAAACCCCAATTCGAGAAATAGAAAGTTTAGGCGTTGGGCATCAATGGAGGAGGCTGCCATTGACTTCCTGCTGGTGCGGCGGTGCCTCTCGGTCTCTGTTTATTGCTTGGTCTTGGGCCTCAACGCCGAGTCCCGCCGCGAATGGGTGCTTTGCATGAATGACCGTAAGTTTCTGAGTTTCAAATGACAAGTGGATGTCTTTGTCGTAGCAGTACGACTGTGTTCTGCATTATTTGAGTCAATATCTCGTTAGCTGTTGAGTTGAGTCAGCTTAGAACTTCAAAACAACTGTAGTTCTGTCTAGTCTTTTAACCCATCATAGATAGCTTTTTCCAACATCAACATAATTGTCCTTTCATGTCGCTGAGCTACAATAAATCATCAGCGGCCTTTTCCAAAATTATGCTGTTATTTTCATTTATGTAGTATGCCTATCTAGGTCCATTATTGATATTTATGAACATGAGCATGAACTTGAACCTCCATTATTGATTGCTTTATTTGAACTTAAATTAATTGTTGGGAAGCTTTAGATAAGTTCTACTAGTAATAAGACATCAAGATAAGTGTGAGATTCCACATCGATGGAAGAGGGAAACGAATGTGAGAACATTGGTCTCCAAAGGGGTGATTGTGAGATCCCACCTCAATTGGAGAGAGAAACTAAACGTGGAAACCTCTCCGACCGTTTTAAAATCGTGATGCTGACAGCGATACGGGTCAAAGCAGGCAATATATGTTGGCAGTGGGCTTGGACTATTAGAAATGGTATCAGAGCCAGACACCGAGTAGTATGCCAGCAAGGACGCTAGATTCCTCAAGGAGGTGGATTGTGAGATCCCACGTTGATTGGAGAGGAGAATAAATCATGTCTTATAAGAATGTGGAAAGGCCGAAGCGGATAATATCTACGGTGGAGGTGAGCTTAGGCTCTTACACTTCTCCACTTTTTAGCAACGGCAATAACTCTTAGCTGGCTAATAGGTGTTTTTGTGAGCAGCTCAGCAGACTTGAGTAATGCAAAACTAAATTTAGTATACGGAAACAAGTCTGCCCCTTTGTACTTCAATCAAGTACTTTTCAATCTTCCTGTGCTTCCTTGTTGGTTTGTATGCAATGTGCAGTCAATAAGATATTATGCTCATGTTAGCTTCTTAGCCACTGTTCCTACATGGAGAAAAGAGAGATCTCAAAAAGTCTATACAGCATGTCGCGAGAAACTTGAATCGAGGCAGCATCTTCTGGTCTGTTGGATTGAGAGCATTCTGCTTCTCATTCCCTACCTTTCTCTGGATTGTTTTGGGCCAATTCCTATGGTTTCATGTTGCTGTATAATGTTATGTATTCTTTATTTCTTGGACACAACTACCAGTTTTACGCCACATCTTCACAGTCCTCATTGAAGGAGGACCAGGAAGTTGATGGTCTGGAATCGCCTCATCAAGCGTTGTAAAGTAACGTACAAATCTCCTAACATCCTTGTTCTAGGAAGTTCTATAAACGTAGAGTTTTCATATTCATATGCTTATATCTAATCCAACGTAATCTACTTTTTGATTGTTGAAGACACTCTAACTTAACCATTTTAGTGAGTCCCACATGGACTAATTTAAGAAATGATCCGCGAAACCATCATAAAGGTTTATGTACAAAGAACAGGCCAGACTTGTATCCAAAGATATAGAAAATGATGTTTTTATGACAGCAACAAAAGCCCTTGTTGCTCAAGCTCATGGAATTGTTGATGTTGTATAGGTTTATAAGTGAAGGGTAGAGGCCTTTTGGAGAATTCCAAAGTAAAGTCATAGAGCTTCTTATGCTCCTTATGCTCAAAGTGGACAATATCATACCATTGTAGAGATCCGTGATTCCTAACATAAGGCTTGGCCCAAGATTTGAAGTTCAAATCTCCAACTAACAAGTTGTTTAGCTATAAAAAAAACGGTATACAAGTTCGAAAGAAGTGCCAAAAAATGAATGGTTGTTTTCATCCTCCAAAATGGGATGTCATTCATAACTGTCCAAGCTTACCATTAACAAATATTGTACGCTCTGACCTATTACATATCACTCTCAGCCTCACGATTTTAACAGTCTAAGCCCAAGCCTCAAGCCTCACGATTTTAACAGTCCAAGCCCAAGCCTCAAGCCTCACGATTTGAACAGTCCAAGCCCACTACTAACAAATATTGTCCGCTTTGTCCCGTTACAAATCGTCGTCAGTCTTCCACACTCGAAATGCTTCGTTTCCCCTTCCCAATTAATGTGGGATCTGACGGTTGCAAGTCTGGTATATTTGAATGTAATTGTTCCAATTGTTACTTGTACTTCTAGTCAAATTGTAGTTGTAAGTTCTGTTTAATCTACTCTCAATATCTCTGTGTTTCCATTACAGGCAAGACCGTGGCTGATATTTGGTAGCAGACATTCACTAACGGCCAAGCTTAATATGTACAGAACCATCACATTTTCATTTCATTGACAAAGCACAAAGATAAAGACAGGAAAGAAAAAGGGCAGGTAAGCTGAAAATAACACAACAGAATGTGTTTGTATGCCATTACAAGGACATATCTGGGTGAGTAACAGTGTAATGATGCGATGGTGTGGAAGTCAATTTGGATGCCTCTGCCTTCCCTTTCATTGGAATTCAAAATGCTGCGTTGAATTCTCTATCACACTACCTAATATGCCCAAATGCAACCATTGAAGCTTTGTTGTGGCAGCTTTGGCTGAGCCGCATTGACAAGCCCCTGTGCGGAGCCAAACAGTGGAACCTTTTGTTTTCTGCTGAATCAAACACATTTGTAGTGCTTCCTTGTCACATGGAAATGTTAATACTTTTGATCCGATTTTGGTTTTATACGTTACACTATTCCGAACTCAGTCAAGATATTCAATGATTGAAAAGAAACAAATGATTGAAAAGATAATTGTAGCACCACAGGTATCCATATGTATATACACAATCAAATAAGAATATCCCTCCAATTGGTGGGCTATTAATACAAAAGACAACTTTGATTTTAAGAGAGGGAGAAAAAATGTGTTGGTTGGAGAGGGGAAGGAAGTGTGGAAGTCTCTCCTTAATAGGGACCGTAAAATTGACTGCGATACATAATTGTCTACGGGCTCTGTCAGAGGCAGCGTCTACGGGCTCTGTCAGAGGCAGCGTCTACGGGCTCTGTCAGAGGCAGCGTCTACGGGCTCTGTCAGAGGCAGCGTCTACTAAAAGTGAGCTTGGGTGCTCTACGGGCTCTGTCAGAGGCAGCGTCTACTAAAAGTGAGCTTGGGTGCTCTACGGGCTCTGTCAGAGGCAGCGTCTACTAAAAGTGAGCTTGGGTGCTCTACGGGCTCTGTCAGAGCAGTGTCTACTAAAAGTGAGCTTGGGTGCTCTACGGGCTCTGTCAGAGCAGTGTCTACTAAAAGTGAGCTTGGGTGCTACCAGTAGGGTGTGAGCTTGGGCTATCACTAGGTGGATGAGAGTGGATGGAAGGGGGGAGACCACAAAGGGTAAAGAGCACGTGGAATCTTTCCTCTTTTGTGTGTTTCTTTTCATTTGATTCAAAAAGACAATGGCTGTCAGTGTCTCACTAGCTCCTTATGAACCCAACAAAAGCTTGTGAATCCTCATGAAACTTTGTGGTTAAAAGTTCCAAATCTTTCACTATTTTGTGTAATGAACAAAACCCTAATAGTTTTAAAGAAAGCTCCCTCCATGTTAACGTGAAAGGCCTTATTATTACAAAATCAATTGGATAATATGAATAACAACATTGAATGAATCAATTTTGGCACCACAAATCAATCAAGCAAGTGGGCAGTGCATGCCTCATTTCCCCCTTCGAGGAATACTCACTTTACTCTCTTAATATCATTTGGCATATCATCTTCTTCTTGTTCATCATTTCCTGCATCAATTGCCAAGAAAAGAGGGAAAACAACAATTTCAACTCATTTGGAAGGGGAAAAAATGAGTTTTTACATATACATACCAAGTGTATTCATGGAACTTTCTTAACTTGCCGAACGTATCCAAAAGGTTACTTTTTTTGAAAATTTATCTAACGGGTCGGTTGGTTCTTATATATAAGATCTCACAATATCTACTAGTGGTGGCTTCAGGTCATTACATTATGTGCCTCAAATCTCTTAATCCCCTTGCCCAATTTGGACTGCAACACAAAACACACCAGCAACACAAATCAGCACACTTCTTAGGGCTACAAACACAACTAATTGCTCATGGATATATACAAAGAATCATAGAGACAATGCTTGAGAGTTTTAAAACCCTTTTACATAGAATCAAACACAAAACTAAAGTGAAGATGGGATGTTAAAGGAGGGTGAAGAGGGTGATGACAGAAGCATAGAGAGCACAAATGGAGTGAGATACAGAAATTTGCATATCATCATCTGTGCTCTCTATCTTCTGTCAACACCATATCACCTAAATTCTTCCTCCTTTAATTCAACCCCAAACTTCACTTACAAATAAACCAAACTAAAGAGAGAAAGAGAAGAAGAAGAAGAAGAAGAAGAGGATGAATGAGAGCCTATCAAAGATTTCCATACAAATGGTCTCTATTTATAGCAAACTTTGAGACGAATTTTGGAAAAAGAATGGTAAAAAAAATAAAGTAGATACTTACAGATCAAGTTCCAACCGTTTCTCACGAGATCAAAATCTTCCCCAACAGAAACAAACCTTTTGTACGTACTCGGATCTTATCCTTATTGTAAAATCGCGCTCATATGGCTATTATATCTTTCCAACCCTTGAATTTTGTGCACAGAAATTACCCAATTTAGCCACTCACACAAGAACATTGACTGCAAAAAGGGTTCAATTTGATTTGAACAATTCAACTCAAAAATAATGATCTTCATTGTACGGTATGTGTACGCCACAAAATCATCATAAAAATCAGCACAAAGGCAGTTGTTATGATTCTCATTTTTTTTTCTTCTTTCTATTGCCTTATTTGTTGCAATGAGTGAGACCCACTTGGATTAATGCAGTGAAGAACAAAACCCATTTGTTAATTTAGGGTTTTCACAAAAAAAAATCCAATCTTTTTAATCACAAAGAAATCTAGGGTTTACCCACAAAAAAAAAAAAAAAAAACCCTTAAATGCGTAGTAGAAGAAAAATGGTAAAAAGAGAGGTTCCTTGATCTCTTTCCTTTTTGTTTCAACATCTGTGGAGTTTCGAGCCGTGTTTTAACTTCATGATCCGTTGATCTATACTCAAAGTATTTAGCTTTGCTCGAAATTACAGTATCTATAGAGTTTCGAGCGGTGTTCTAAGCTTATGATCCCTTGAACTATACTCAAAAAATTCCGTTTTGCTGGAGATTACAGTATCTTGACCAATTAATCCATCGATTATTGTTGGTGAATAGATGATTGTAGAAAAGAAAAGGGGATTGGGGGAGCTACAACGTGACATGTTGTGTTTGAATGTATTCTTTCAAACAAGAAAGCACCATATTAATCAAAGCAAGATATATATCAACTTTAAAACGTCGGACCCAGCCACATTCTATCACCCACAACACACAGTGTCAAACTTTAATGGACGGTTCGATGAGTCGCCATCATCCCACCACCAGCACTAATTAAGAGATCAGTTCATCACAAACTTGTACTCTACAAATTTAATCAAAATCTAAGAACAAAAGCATCAAAATTGATAAACACAGCTATTTTGAGTATATTTGGAAGAAGAAAATCCTTGTAAATGGGTAGCTAAGCTCCTAAAATTGCCACCCTCTTTGTTCTTAGTTTTGTGGGTTTTGATTATAATATTGTTTGTGATGAGTGATATCAAGACCTTAAGAATAGTGTAATTCCTATGGAGAAATTAAAGAGAAAAGAAAAGGGTAAGATTCAAAGGCATCTCCCAACACATATTTCTTATCTTGGATGGTTGGGTCATTTTCACATCAGCAAAGGGGAAGAAGACGACAACGACCACAACCTCTAACATAATACGTGTCGACACCCCACTCCTTGATTCTGGATAAAGAATCTCTTCGTATCTCTGTGAAATGGTTAAATGGTTCGTCTCAAACCTGATAATAGTTTGGATTGAATTTTAAATAAATTAAAATTTTATATAAAGTTTATAATATACTTTTGCTTTAAATACACGTATATTAATTTTATTTGTAAGGTTGTGTTTAATAAATTTTGAAAATATTAAATTAGGTGAATAAGTCAAACATATATTAAATTTTCTAAAGAAGTGACGTTGATAATTGGGCCTGATAGAACGGCCCACTGACGCTCCTTCAGAAAAAGGAAGATTTGATAAGCCCAAAGCCCATACCATCGAAACCTAGAAAGATATTTTGTTTAATATTAATTTAGAAAAATGTTAATAAATAAGAAAAAATATACGCCATGGTTTTTAGTATTTTATATAATTTTTAATTGAACTGTCTTTAATATTTTACTCTCTGATTAAATCATAAGGATTAGATATTCATAGTTCCAAACTATACCATTCTAGTTACATGAAGTGCACCAAAACAAAAGCGATTCAATTTTAAAATAATATATATATTTATACTAAGAACAATCCAAACATAATTTAAAAATGGTTATGACAGTTGATTGATCATGACATTATTATTTTATTAATATATTTGAATATATTATCTTGTCCCTTCAATTTGATGATATTTGACACGCTATATATCTAACTTTATAATTTCTTACATCAAAATAACACTTTTGAGATTTTTTTTTTTTTTTTAATTTCTAGAAATTTCCAATACTTTTAAGATAAAATTGGTAAGACTACAACTATAAATAAACCCTCACTCACGTGAAAATTATTGTAGTCAATTTTGAATTTGTTAAAAAACCTCTCAAATTTGTAATAAAAAAAATTCAGTTTCTTTAGTAATCATTTAATAATTAGATTCATCAACGTTCTTTTATAAAGTAACAACTAAGGTTAAATCTGAGATGCTCTGAGAACTAATAGGTCTGACACTTGAATTAGCCATGGTTTTTGAAATTGAATCTATTGGAGCGCTTAAGGTTGCACATAGTCGACCCTTAAAGGTTGATCCCTACAAAGGTTAGCCATGACCCTTGAGGTTGACTCCACAAGAGTCCGCAAATGGCATTATAACCGATCCTATGACTTGAATCTTAACGACGATCCGTTAAGAATTAAGAATTATTTGAGAAATTTAATGGAGACAACTTCAAAATATTTATTAAATTAGGGATTGTGCAAGTGGGAGCATGAAAATGCATTAATTGCCTTTACAGGTAAGGGAAGCAAAAGGCCACCCTAAGCCCCCATCCTAAGCTGTAAAGCCAATTTGTGAAAGCTCTTTGAAGCTGGCTTATAGCTGCCATGCATTTCCTGCCTAAAACCCTTTCTTCTTATCCTACTTCCTCAAGTTTTCACCTACTTTCTACGCTCATCTTTTAAGTTTCCGAACGCATTGATGATACGTTAGCAGCTTATCTACAAAACATGTTATATAAACGAAGATTTAGAGAAAGATTATATATTTTTCAACCTTAAACTACACAAAAATGAAATTAAAACGTGAGCGATAATTACGCGATATAATTGATTACTAAATTTTGGGCAGTTGGCAGTTCCCCCTTCTAGGGTTAGCCATTAAATACAAATTAAACCACAGACGCTCTGTTTAGGAGTTAAAGGCATATGGGGAAGGGGAGGAGAAGATATGAGAGGCTAAGAAGAGAAAGCTCAGAAGTTGATGAAGAACAGAATCATATCAAGAGTTCAGCCATAACATTGGGAGGAGGAGGGAAAGGAAGAAGAAGAAGCAATCAAGGTGTGGAGCTATGGAAGAAAATGGAAGGCAGCAGCCCAAAATTAGGGCATCCCTTCAAGACCTTCATAGCTACTTATGAAGCAATCATGCTTTACTTTGCCCACAAGCTTGTGATGCCTCAACAATGGTGATCTTCTACACTTTTATCTCCCTCTTCTTAGTTTTCTAGTCGTGGGTATGTTGATAAAATATAATGGAATGGAATATCTTTACTGTTTAACACGTTAGTATCACATTTGATAGATAATATACGAAGTGTTGATAAACAATTTTCGTCCAATAAATTTTTTTTTATAATTTTTTGTTAAAGGTAAATGTGGTTAATATTACTTTTAAATTTTTATAGATTAAAAAAAAAAAGTTTAATTGGTTTAATTTTAAGTTTAGATATTATTTTAAAATTTAGTTAATAAAGTTGAAGTATTTTTATTAATTTAATTAAATTAAAAATATATAAACCGATTTATTAAAGGCTAAAATTAAATACGTGAGATCAATCATTACACCGTGAAAGTATGTGTTTAACATTTAATTATTAAATAAAACAGTTTAGACTTAATTAAATGAGAAAATATTAAATAATTTTCTTTTTAAATCCCACTTTCATTAAATGCGGTTCCTAACTGTCAACAGATGGATGAAATAAAAAAAAGAAGCAATCAATCTATTTATTAATAAAAGAATAATAAAAAATTGATTAAAAGTATATAAAAAAATAAATAAATCGTTCTAGAAAACTCCATAGATTCAAAATGGGAGTTATGTATTAATTGGGATTTCCTATAACCCATCATGTGACTGCAAGAACAAAATACCAAAAATGCCCCTTTATCATATGAACACATGTTGGCATTGACAATGAGAATATTCTTTAAAATTAAAATATTTTTTAATATGTACCTACATCATTTTTATTATATTACATTTACACCTTTTTATTTCTAAAATTAATCCTAAATAAACTATTATTATTTTTTCCATAAACCAATATTTTCACATGGTTCTAACCTGTCACAAAAAAAAAAAAAAAAAAAAAAAA